AGGACTCACAATCAAACTGGATCATCAAGTCACCCTCGAACTAATCTTAACTACCGGTACGTCGTACGAAGTACTACTACGTAGTAGTACTAGTTTGAATTAGTATGTACTACTACAAAGGTGTGTACTTGTACTAGTACCTTCTTGACTCGCGTGCATGCTTTGCGAACGACGACTGGAGCATCGATTTATCATTTTGATATTGGATAAGATTGTGCTGCAATTCACAGAAGTAACTAACACCGTTCTCGTACGTAGTAGTACTACTACTGAGTACTACTGTAATAATACGATACCCAGCACTGTGGAGCAGACGTATCACAAAATTCACCCAACAAAACCTGGAATGGAATTATCTGATACTTCGAAGTAGAGTACAGACACCATTCGCGTACTGGTTATGTGCCTTGCGACGCATAAGATTTTTCACCTCCAAGAAGAGTAGTCGCCTCGAAGTGCAAAGTGACCTGTAACTGTACGTTCCTTTGTTTTCGAAAGGGAATTTACAGTTAGAATTATGGTAGACATGTCCACAAACATTTTGTAATGATCTGTCGTGTCAACGATTCCAACCCGCCCCTGGTCGAGCAGGCGCGTTACAATTGGCGAAGCGGTTCCATAACATGTGGTTCTAGTGTCGGCCCTCGCGAGGAATGTCTTAAAAATGATAATCCAAACTCAATTAATCAACGATTCCAACTGGTCAACAAGTCGTCGTAATCACCTGTCTCCTATATAACACACTGTACAAGCCATCCGGCGACGACGACTCAAAGGCAAGATATGTATGTGAATCATCTTGAGCCAAACAAACCCATTCTGCATATCACCGCACGCTCGCATTAAAAGGCATGGCTAGCCCCCTATGCTAGCGTTAATGTGCGCTTCATGCAATACATAGGGAAGAGTGTTGCGTGGCATTCTGGGACACTTTTGTCCAGCTTTTAATGGTTGCACATCAATTCCCTGAGAGCAACAGTTCTGCTGTTGCTTCCGAAATCATTTCACTTGATCTTAGTATCGTATAGTGAAATGCAGTGTAAACCGAAACAACACATTCCAGCTTGGGGTGAAGTACATTGTCAGTAGGTTGAGAGAGATGGCTACCCAGTGGAGAAGCGACTTAACCCCGGGATTACCAACACAAGGGGTCTATAGAGATTCCGAGGTACAGGGCTACACGTCCTTTTGAAGCGACATGATTACGTCAGCAAGAGCGCAGAACTATTTCTCTCAGGGAATTATCCTGGTTGCATGGATAATATGTTGTGACATGACTATCCGTCCTGGGAGTACCGGTAGTGTACGTTTGATTGCTCGGGGCTGGGCGAGCAATTGGAATGTACTACTAAGTAGTACTACTGTACGTAGTACAAGTACAGTACTTGCAACACCCGAATGAGACCACTTCCCGTAAATCACGATATACGGTGCACGTGTACACGTGAGGAAGGGAATTTACGCCACACCGAAGTTCGTCTGAGTATTCTGTACGTGGCCAATCCGAATCGCGTATTTCAAAACTGTACGTTTGATTTGTCAAAATATTGATAAAATGGCCAATCAGACTTCAACACTTAGATTGTTCTTCGATCAAGAAGTGTGGCTTAATGGCTTCAATGGCTACTGATGTACAGCGATCGATGGGACACTTTTGATTGTCAATTCGTAGTAAGCTGGTGGTGCTCTACATTAGCGAAGTCGAGTTCATTTGAGAAAAATCGGGATGATGCAAACCACCGCCACGAAACACGACCACCGCCGACGAGGCACGTGCTCGGTGACGAATTGCACCAACCAGGTGTACGCGCGGCAATTGTGCTGCCGCCACGGGGCCAAGAAGCAGTGCATTGTCAACGGCTGCTCCCTCCGTGCGCGGCTCAACGACGTGTGCTTCAAGCACGGAGCCCAAAAGAAGCAGTGCATCGAGCAAGGATGCGCGCAGCCAGCGCAAGCCCGGCAGCGCTGCGTCAAGCACGGCGGTGGTCGCCATTGCAAGGTCAACGGATGCTTTGCACACTCCCGAGTGGGAGGGTTCTGCCAACGACACCGCCTCCCTGGATCGTTGCTGGAAACGATGGACATGAGCTGGGACGAGTCCAAGGCCCACAACGACCGATCGTATTCAGTGGCGTCGACAGATGATGTGTGCGCAGCAGACACGTCCACGGTGGAGTTGGACCCGTGGGTCATGGGCATCGTCGACACCATCAAGTTGAATCAACATGCCTGCTGCTGGAGCAATCTCAGTCAGGAAGAGGATGCCATGATGCAGGACATCTTTGGTCTCTTAGCGAATTAGATGATGAAGTACCTATTTATCAATTTATTACTTTTTGAAATCGACGCATTGGTCGTTCTGGTCTTCTGATAGATTTACACCCAAAGGGCTCTTCCAAGTACTTGCAGTTACGACTAATAAATCATGATGTCTTGTCCATCACGCACCGGGGAGAGCAGAATGCGATTCCAGCAAAATATAAACCCTCACAGATTGCACGTTAAACTCCTGAATTCAAATATACCTTTGGATTGAGGAAATACCTCCTAGGGTAAA